CTGAAATTTTGAATCCAAGTAATGCGGTTCTAGAATACTTGAAGTTAACCATTATAAACATTGTTTAAAACAGAAAAAGTAGTTTCAACTTTAACAGTAAGGAAATGGTCCAGTAAACTCTAGCATATCAATTTGATAGTTATGTAGGCACTTAAAATGATTCAAAGATTATAAAATAAAATGGGAAAGTCTAATGTGAGGACTGCAGCCAATGTTACACATACAATATGAGTTATGCACCTATATGAGACATTCCAATATAAATCTTTATTGAATTTTCATAAAGTTATATGGAAATAATTTCAAACTCATAAGAAATTAAAAAAATGAAAAAATAATACTGTATACCCTTAACAAAGATTCAGCTATTTTTAACATTTTACCCATTCATTTTCTCATCCTCTTTTTCTCTTTACACACACACAAATATTTTTCTGAGCCATTGGAGGTTAGGTCATCTGTCGTGGCTCCATATGCTTAAATACCTCAGCGTGTACTTCTGAAGAGCAGGTCTTTACTCCACAGTCAGAAACTTCACAACTTTACATTGATATGCTTTTATCCAATTACTCTAAATATTCCCAAGTTTTGAGTTGGTCTAATAATGCTTTTTATAGGTTTTTCCTCCAGTCTGGTTCAATTTTGGCATCAGCTAGCCAGTTAGTTGTCACGTCTTTGAAGGTACCTTAGATCTGGAAGGTTCCACAGCTTTTCTTTGTCTTTTTTGACGGTGACATGGTTGAAGAATGTAGTTCTCCCACTTCTTTTTATTTAATAGAACACTTGGTTTTCTGTTTGTCTGGTGTTTCTTGATGATCAGGCTGAGTTTATTGACTCTCAGCAGGAAGCTGTGTAGGTGATGCTGCAACCTGCCCGGGTACTGAAGCCGCAGGCACATGATGTCTGTGTGTCTCTCACAGGCCATGTTCATGTTGCTCAGTCAAGGTGGTGCCTGATTCCTCCACTGTGTAGTCACCTGTTCTTTCTTTCTCATCAAGAGTAAGACATCTGTAAGGGGAGATATTTAAGATGATGCAAATGTCTTATGCCTCTCAAAAACTTCCCTTATATTTAGCATGAATCAATGATTCTTGCCTGATCTAATCTTTACTAGGAAGGTTGCAAAATAATGGTTTTCCAACCGGAGCACTTGTCCCATTTAGCAGCTGTCTTTCACAGGGCTGCATTGCAACTTTCATGATCTCTAGGCACGCTGACCTTCATGGGCTTCTTCATAACATTAAAAAAATAATGGGGCCAGCACTGTGGCTTAGTAGGCTAAGCCCCTCCTGCAGTGCCGACATCTCCTATGGTGCTGGTTCATGTCCTAGCTGCTCTTCTTCCTACCCAGCTCTCTGCTTATGGCCTGGGAAAGCAGTGGAAGATGGTCCAAATGCTTGGGTAGCTGCTCCCACATGGGAGATTCAGAAGAAGCACCTGGCTCCTGGCTTTGGATCAGCTCAGCTCCGGCCATTCCGGCCATTTGGGGAATGAACCAACAAATGGATGACTTTTCTCTCTGTTTCTCCCTCTCTTTGTCTGTAACTCAACCTCTCAAATAAATAAAATCTAAGAAAAAAGTGCCTCCCTTATAAAAAAAAAAAAGCAGCTTGGGCCTCAAACACTGTGCTTAATGGATCAGTTGGCCTATGCACCCCCAAGCTGAGACCAATACCCACTCCCTGCTTATTATCTAACCAGCTAGCTATCATTTTTAAAAAAGGTTTATTTATTTATTTGAGAGTCAGAGTTATACAGAGAGAGAAGGAGAGGCAGAGAGAAAGAGGTCTTCCATCTGCTGGTTCACTCCCCATCTGGCCGCAACGGCTGGAACTGTGCTGATCTGAAGCCCGGAGCCAGGAGCTTCTTCCAGGTCTCCCATGTGGGTGCAGGGGCCCAAGGACTCAGGCCATCTGCTTTCTCATGCCATAGCAGAGAGTTGGATTGGAAGTGGAGCAGCTGGAACTCGAACCTGCGCCCATATGGGATATTGGCACTGCAGGCAGTGGCTTGACCCTCTAAGCCATAGTGCCGGCCCCCCAGCTAGCTATCATTGATATGAACTCACTGCTATTTTTTTCGTATGATCTATAATTCATTACTATATTTAGTTAACTTAGTGCTCAAATGGTCTCAGATTTGACCGGTAGGAGTCTCTCAAAGTGGGCCCCAATCTTTGCAATGTACTACCATAATTTCTTGGCACTTTATGGCACAACAAGGTGTTCTAGACTCCAACTCTCGAATCAGCTATTTCTTGAAGGAGCCCAGATTCCTTTCCATGAGGAAAGGAAGGTTAGAAACCAAGATCTGGGAGCAAGGCAAGTGCATTGCTACTAACTTGTAGCAATGTACTGGACCTTGGCATTGAAAAAGCTAGAACGTGAAGGCATGGACACACACACACACATGCACACACACACACAATGTGTGCATGCATGCATAGTCATATTTTAGAGAGAGAGTCCATGGCAGTTTCTCCGATTGCAGTCCATCTCCGCAGGGCTCTTCTCTGACTCTCCCCAGTCCACACTCACACATTCTTCCTTCCGCAGGAGAGCAGCTTTTCAACAGCAGTGATGCATTTCCTTGTTTCCTACTGTCTGTAGGGCACCTGAAATACAGGGGGACCCTTCATAGCCATAGGTTCTACATCCATGGATTCAACCAACTACAGTTCAGAAATATTTAGGAAAAAAATGACATCTGTAATAAACACATAGAGATAATTTTTATTGCTAATTTTCCCTAAACAATACAGCATAATAACTATGCACATTGCATTTGCATTCTATTCTATGGACTATATAAAGGACACAGGAGGGTGTTTGCAGCTTATAGACAAGCATTAAGCTATTTAATTTCATGGAATTGAGCATCCCAGATTTTGGTATCTACAGGATCCCAGAACAAATCCCTGCAGAGACCATGGAATGACCATGGTTTCAGAGATGGCTGATGCACCGCCCTCTGCAAAATGAACAACCCTGTGAAAACCAGTGCAATGCTTGTTTGTGTCATTCTCTGCCCACCTCTTGAATGCTGAGAGCTACCGAGTTCCCAACTTCCTTGCATTATCTCTTTCTTTGGAGTCTTTTTCCTGTACCATGTCATCACGGTGTTTATTTGGAATAAATAAAAAAAATAAATTATGAATACTTATTTCAATTAGCTTTTGGTTTTAGGTTTCCTCCCCTCTCCCTTCTCATTCTTATTGATTTCATCTATTTTTGATTGTGTGAGATATTAATATGCTTTCAAAAGTCAAAGCTATGTGACAAGTGACACTCAGAGGAGGGTTGCTCCCCTCTGTGTCCCTTGTGCAAAACGCATGTGATTGCTTTCTGGTTTCTCCTTGTATTTCTTTTGGTAATGATAATGTATATTTTCTCATCCTCCCTTATTTCTTACACAAAAGGTGACATATCATATATGCCCTTTTGAACTTTTCTTTTTTAATCTACTGGCTCCTGGAAATCCTTCCGTATCTGTTCATAGAGACCTTTCTCATTTTTATCAACTGTGTAGCCCTCCACTGAGTGGATGTACCATAGTTTATTCAACCAACCTCCTTTGCTTATATATTCAGGGGATTCCAGTGTTTTCAGTTTACAGATAATGCTGCAACATATAACTGTGTGTTTGTGTTTCTGAATTATTGGTGGTGTCACTTCAGGATAAGGTCTACATGCAGGATTGCTGGATTGAGGGACACATTTGCACATAGAGCATTATTCCCTTATTCATGGGTAATACGTTCCAAGACCACTAGTAGACGCCTGGAACCACAGATAGTTCTCAGCCTTATAGATATGTTTTGTTCCATACATACATATATATACTTTTGATAAACTTCAGTTTATAAATTAGGCACAGTGAAAGATTAACTACAATAATTAATACTAAATACAATTTTAACAGCAACTTTATGTGAATGTGCTTTCTTGCTCTAAAAATACTTTATTATTCTGTGGTCACCCTTCTTTGATGATATAAGATGATATGGTGTCTATGTAATGAGATAAAGTGAGGCAAATGATGTAGCGTTAGGCTGCTGCGTAAGGGTTACTTGAACACAAGCACTGTGAAGCTGTGACAGCTGGTCTGATGACTAAGTCAGCTACTAAGTGACAAATGGACAGGTGGACAGCCTATGCAGTATGGACACAGTGGACAAGGGATGATGCGTGTCCTGATTGAAATGGAGCGGAGGAGGTTGTTTGAGATTTCATTAACTATTTAGAAGGACTCACAATTAAAACCCACTAATTGTTCATTTCTGGAATTTTCCATTGATTATTTTCAGACTGGAGCTGACTACAAGTAACTGAAACTGCATGAAGCAAAACCACTACTAAGGGAGGCTACTGTCGTTGTATTTGACATGGCCATTTTCCCATTAGCAATGAGTGAAAGTATGTGTTTTCTTACACCCTCACCAAACAGGGCATATAGTCAAATGTCTTAGACCATTTGGGGTGCTGTAGCAAAATACCATAAACTGGGTGGCTTATGAGCAACAGAAATTTATTTCTAGGAGTTCTGGAGACTGGAAGTCCCAGTTCAAGGTGGTGGCAAGCTGATGAGTACCCACTTCCTCAGAGGCTAGAGGGTCTTTCCACAAGGTGGAAGGGCAATAGGGCATCTCTGGGGTTTTGCTCATTAGGATACCAACTCTACTCAAAGGATTCTGCCCTCCTGAGACCAAGGCCCCACCTCCCAGCACCATTAACCTTGTGGTTAGGATTCAGCATATGAATTTCAAAGGGACATATATTTTCATTCTGTTGTATCAGTCTTTTGATTGTTTTGTCAATCTGATCAATGAGAAATGTATCTTTACATGATTTGAATAATTTTCATTTATTTTATAATGGATGAGGTTGAACATCTTCTTGTGTGCTTAAAAACTATATATAAATCTCTTTGTAGATTATATATTCATGTATATTGTTTATTTCTATAAAGAATTTTTGGTCATTTTTGTCTCCATTGTAAAGCACTTTTTAAAGAAGTAAATTTGAGGGAGCTGGTGCTGTGGTATAGTGGCTAAAGCCACCACCTCCAGAGCCAACATTCCAATGGGCACCAGTTTGAATCCCCGCTACTCCACTTCTGATCCTGCTCTCTGCTATGACCTGGAAAAACGGTAGAAGATGGCCCAAGTCCTTGGGCCCCTACACCTGCATGGGAGACTTGGAAGAAGCTCCTGGCTCCTGGCTCCTGGCTCCTGACTCCTGGCTCTGAATTGGCCCAGCTCTGGCTGTTGTGGCCACTTGGGGGAGTGAACCAGCGGATGGAAGACCTCTTTCTCTCTGCCTCTGCAATGCTGCCTTTCAAGTAAATAAATAAATCTTTAAAAAAAAAGGAAGTAAATTTGAAATATTAGCTGTTTTTCTGTGATGCATGTTATGAAATTTATATCCCAGTTTGCTACCTGCCTTTTGACTTGTTTTATGATGTAAAACATATTTATTTTTATGCACTCAAATCTGGCCATCTTTTGTTTGTCTTGTCCCCGTATTGCACACTACAGTTACAAATTCATTCCCTACATAAAGCTAAAGACAAGTTTACCCGAGTTTCCTTCTAGAACACAAAATCTGGGCAGTTGTTGTTGTTATTGGTTGCATTTGAAACCCTGACCCTTTTAGAGTTTATTCTGTATGGTGTGGAGAATGCATCTAACTTTCTATTTTTCCATAAATCTGATTATTCTCTCTTCAATAAGCTTGTGAATGTCTTGAAGTCAAAGCTACCAATTCAATCAGCAGTGTCTGTCCTTCCTGTAAATACACACATACTTGCTAGGTAATGTTTCCTGATTTATACTTGAGTGTATATTGTACCTATTTTTACATGTCCTTGACCAGTTATTGGATTTTTTTCTTTTCAACTTTTATTTAATAAATATAAATTTCCAAAGTACAACTTTTGAATTACAGCAGCTTTTCCCCCCATAACCTCCCTCCCACCTGCAACCATCCCATCTCCCATTTCCTCTCCCATCCCATTCTTCATCATGATTAATTTTCAATTATCTTTATATACAGAAGATCAACTTAGTATATACTAAGTAAAGATTTCAACAGACTGCACCCACAAAGACACACAAAGTATAGAGCACTGTTTGAATAGTAGTTTCACCATTAATTCTCATAGTACAACACACTAGGGGCAGAGGTCCTACATGGGGAGCAGGTGCACAGTGACTCCTGCTGTTGATTTAACAATTGACACTCTTATTTATGACGTCAGTAATCACCCAAGGCTCTTGTCATGAGCTGCCAAGGCCATGGAAACCTCCTGAGTTCACCAACTCTGATCTTATTTAGACAAGGCCATATTCAAAGTGGAAGTTCTCGCCTCCCTTTGGAGAAAGGTACTGCCTTCTTTGATGGTCCGTTCTTTCCTCTGAGATCTCACTCAAAGAAATCTTTCATTTAGGTTTGGTGTGTTTGTTTGTTGTTGTTGTTGTTGGTTTTTTTTGTTTGTTTGTTTGTTTTTGCCACAGTATCTTGGCTTTCTGTGCCTGTGAAACTCTCATGGGCTTTTTAGCCAGATCCAAATGCCTTAAGGGCTGATTCTGAGGCCAGAGTGCTGTTCAGGGCTTTTGCCATTCTATGAGTCTGCTGTGTATCCCACTTCCCATGTAGGATCATTCTCTCCTTTTTAATTCTATCAATTATTTGCAGACACTGGTCTTATTTATGTAATCCCTTTGACACTTAATCCCATCTTTTTGATCAATTATAGTTCATTGAATTTAACATTCATCATGAACACTAGTTGGATGATCTCTTTTGCATCTATCAACCTAATTAAAGTTTGTATTTTTTTAAAAATGTATTTGACAGGTAGAGTTATAGACAGTGAGAGAGAGAGAGACAGAGAGAAAGGTCTTCTTCTGTTGGTTCACTCCCCTAATGGCCGCTATGGCCGGAGCTATGCCAATCCGAAGCCAGGAGCCAGGTGCTTCCTCCTTGTCTCCCATGCAGGTGCAGGGGCCCAAGCACTTGGGCAATCCTCCACTGCCCTCCTGAGGCACAGCAGAGAGCTGGACTGGAAGAGGAGCAACCGGGACTAGAACCCGCCGCCCACATGGGATGCTGGTGCCGCAGGCGGAGGATTAGCCAAGTGAGCCATGGTGCCAGCCCCTTGTTTGTATTTTTTACAAGGCTTTTGTTGCTTCGATTTCTTCAAAGGTGAAGTTACTTATAAAATATTTTAGGGGGACGGACACAGTGTGATTTACCCAGACACCTGTTCTGTCTTTGGAATGTCACTTTGTGGTTGTCTTGGTCTGATCCACTCCCCTTTTATTCTCCGTGTGAATTCCAGCCTGTCATTTAGAAATCTCACTTTGTCATCACCTCCTTTATGATGCTTCTTGACAGAACTAATTAGCCCCCCTTGCTAGTGCAGCTGGGTCTTGTTCAGACGTCTGTTGCTGCGTTTATCCCTCTGAACTGCATTCTCATTTGACAGTTGTGTTTTCTCTACCAGTCTCTTAACTTCTTGAAAGTAGAGTCAAGTGCTCGATGTTCTTTCACTTACTTGGCCTGGTAGTAATCACAGAGGTGGCTGTGTGGGGGTATCATTCTGGTGGAAGTGCTGAGAGTTGATGGTGCACTACATTATTGTGACTCTCTCTGGGAGAAGGAATTCCTCCAGTCTCCTTTCTATCTTGTGAAACAGGAGACCTTTGAGTTCTTGAAACTAGAATTCTTCTTAGGGATGATATTCATTATATTTAGTAATAATTAAAAGAATTTAAGTGAGAATTCATTCACCACAATGTTGCTATCAAAAGTCATCCACTGTTTTCATCGTTCTCTGTTCCTGGAGAGATTACCCTTACGCTGCTGGATTGTTTCTATAAATAAAAGAGCTTATTGTTACCTCTATTTTAATTTTATGCATCTACCCTTGCTGAAATTAGGTTTCAAATATCTTATAAAGGGAGACCTCTCTCATTGTACATTTTTACATAAGCTCTACTACTTCAGCTCAAACTAAGTATTCAGTACTTGACTGATATATTTAAAGTCACCAAAGTATTTTTAGAGCCTGATATGTTTCAGATACCATAGAAGCTTTTGGGATATGAAATTTAGCAAGGTGTCGTACTTTCCTTTATGAAGGTTGTAATCTAGCAGAGTCACAGCTGAAGTACCATGTGCGTTGTGTAATTATTCATACAGAGCAATGTGAGTTGATCAGGAAATACTTATGTTACTATCCATATAAAGTCCTTGAATAGACCCAAGGATAAGGAGTGACCATGATTCTTACTAAGCACCATTCATTCCACACACACTTTGCAGTGCCCACTAGGTGTCAGGCACTTGTCTGGGCTCTGGGAGTACAGTATTGAACAAAACCAATCTGATTTTTTTCCTTTCCTTTCCTTTTTCTTCTTTTCTGTTCTTTCTTTCTTTCTTTCTTTCTTTTTTTCCTTTTTTATTTATTTATTTTTTATTTATTTATTGGGGCCATCGTTGTGGCACAGTGGGTTAAGCCACTGCCTGCAGTGCTGGTATCCCATATGGGAACCAGTTAGTGTCCCAGCTGCTTCACTTCCTATCCAACTCCCTGCTAATGCATCTTGGAATGTAGTAGGGGATGGCAAGTGCTTGGGCCCCTGCACCCATGTGGGAGACCTGGAAGAAGCTCCTGGTTTCTGGCTTTGGCCAGGTTCATCCCTGGCCTTTACGACCATTTGGGGAGTGAACCAGTGGATGCAAGACCCCTCTTTTTCTCTCTCTCCCTATAACTCTGCCTTTCAATAAATAAATAAATCTTTAAAAAAAAGACTCACTTTAAAGCCACTCATAAGCTGAGGGGGGAAAGGATGGAGATATTCTAGGCAAATGGTAAAGAAGAGAGCAGAGGTGAGCACACTTCTTATTTGTGTATTTGTTTTTTAAAAAGACAGAGTTACAGAGGGAGAGAGGAAAAGATGGCAAGCAAAATAAATATCTTACATCTGTGAGTTCACTCCCTAGATGACCACAATGCCAGGACTGTGCCAGGCAGTAGCCAGGAGCCAGGAGCTTCATCCAGCTCTCTCATGTGGATGTCAGCGGCCCAAGTACTTGGGTCATCATCTGCTGCTTTCCTAGGCCATCAGCAAAGAACTGGTTTGGAAGTAGAGCAACTGAGACATGAACCAGCATCCATATGGGATCCTGGTATTGCAGGCGGTGGCTTTACCCATTCAGCTGTAACAGCAGCCCCATGATCTCTTTTCATACAGAGCTTACATTCTAATAGGGAGAAGCAGATAATAAACAGCAAAACAAATAAACTAACAAGCAATTCTCAGTAAGTGAAATTTTTTTTTTTTTTTTTTTTTTTTTTTTTTTTTTTTTTAGTTTTTGACAGGCAGAGTGGACAGTGAGAGAGAGAGAGACAGAGAGAAAGGTCTTCCTTTGCCGTTGGTTCACTCTCCAATGGCCACTGCGGCCCGCGCACTGCAGCCAGCGCACCACACTGATCCGAAGCCAGGAGCCAGGTGCTTATCCTGGTCTCCCATGCGGGTGCAGGGCCCAAGCACCTGGGCCATCCTCCACTGCACTCCCTGGCCACAGCAGAGAGCTGGACTGGAAGAGGGGCAACCGGGACAGAATCCAGCGCCCCGAACAGGACTAGAACCTGGTGTGCTGGCGCAGCAAGGAAGTGAAAATTTTATAATAAAAGTAGCATGAGCAAAACTGATTAGGGACTACTCCTTAGAGGGTAATTATTTAAAATCTCTTTGAGGAAGTGACATTCAAACAGATACTGAGATGACAGGAAGGAGCCAGTTATGCAAATTTCTCAGGGCAAAGTGTTTTAGGCATAACAACTGTGAAGAATGGAAGCCTGATGCTAGCTTGGTGTTTAAGGATCAGCAAACAGACATGTGTGGCTGTAACTGGACTAAACTACTATGAAAGTGCAAATAAACAAGGTTGGAAATGCAGGCAGAGGCCAGATAGTATAAGACCTTACAGGTCAGGGCAAAGAATTTTGATTCTATTCTAAATGCAATGACAAATCTTGGAAAATTTTGAATTGGGAAATAACATCTGATCTACATTTTAAAGCCTTTTATGTAGAAAATGATGTATGGTGGCTAAGATGTGGTTGTGGGAGTGGAGGACAGAGATGACAGTGGCTTATCTAAGTGCTGATTGTGACAGGCAGTAACAGTGGAGACGGGAAGAAGGAGAAGGACTTGTGACAAGAACAGGAATAGGTATGGTGATTAGAGAAAGAATGGATCTTTATATGATATTTGGCTTAAGCAATTAAGTGGAGGGTTGTACATTTCACCAGCATGAGGACAATACATTTGGAGAAGGGGCTGGAAAGAAAGGTTCTATTTTGAGAATGTTACATTTGAGTTGCCTGTTAAGACTCCCAAGTGGCGATATCAGATAGGCAATAGAATATGTGATTTTGGAGTTCATAGAGGAGGTCAGGTATGGATATGTAGATTTGAGAGTCAGCATGTTTTTTTTTTTTTTAAGATTTATTTATTTATTTGAAAGGCAGAGTTACAGAGAGGCAGAGGTAGAGAGAAAAAGAGAGGTCTTCCATCTGCTGGTTTACTCCCCAGATGGCAGCAATGGCCGGAGCTGCACCGATCTGAAGTCAAGAGTCTCCCACATGGGTGCAGGGGTCTAGGATTTGGATCATCCTCCACTATTTTCCCAGGCCATAGCAGAGAGCTGGATTGGAAGCAGAGTAGCCGGGACCTGAACCGGTGCCCACATGGGATGCTGGCACTGCAGGCGGTGGCTTTAACCACTACACTACGGTGCTGACCCCAAGAGTCAGCAATATTTAGATGCATTCAGAGCTATGAAAATGGATGAGATTACCTAAGGAGTGAGGGTAGATGGAGAAAGGTTGATTAGAGGGCAAATAGCCAGAACAGGAGGTTTGAAAGGGAGACCAGATAAAAACTAGAATTGCGGGTGCAATGGAAACCAAAAGAAGAAAGGAGTGATGAACTTCATTGAATACTACAGACAGGTGGAGAAAATGAGGGGATTACTGTGAAATTTGGCGAGATGAAAATCACTTATGACCTTGACTAGAGCAGTTCAAGTGAAACGGTATAGACAGAAGCCCAGAGGGAGTAGGTGGAGAGGACAGTGTGCCAGGAAGTGAAGACAGGAATCCCAGATGAGCAGGGAATGGGACAGTGGATGCGGGGGATGTCGTATCAAAGTTGATTTTTTAAAACGGATGCTATTAAGGCATGTTTGCCTACTGATAGAACTGAGTCAGCAGAGGGGGGAAAATTGATGTAATAACAGAAGAGAGATGATTGAATGACTCCTTGAAAAGGCAAAGAAGGATGGGGTCTGGAACGTAACTGAAAGGCTTGACAATGGGACAGGGACAGAGAGAGAGGAGGGTGTGCGTACACACACAGGAAGAGTGATACATTTGATGATGGGAAACAGAGAATGCCCATCTCATTTGTTACTTTCTTCTATCACAACATACTTGAGTCCATCAAACCAAAATACATACATACCATTATGCATAAGATGCACAAACGTTACCTAAATAGTCTCTAAAGTATTGCTTCAGTATCTGTCACTGTTTAACAAACTACATCCTAACTTAGTGGCTTAAAACCACAATTTATTATTTCTCACTATTGTATTGATGGACCAGGTGGTTCTTGTGCTTCACTAGGTGGTGACTGGGTGCTGAGAAGGGTGAAATGTCCAAAATAGTCCCAGCCTCCTGGTTGGCAGTCGGTGCTGGCTGCTAGCTGGAAGTTCAGATGGGCTGTTGGCCAGCAGCCTTGGTTTTCCTCCATGCGTCCTTTCCACATAAATGGTTGGGCTTTCTCACCTCACAGTCTCAGGGGAGAAGGATACGTTGGCCAGCTTGATGGTTGGGAGAGGATTCAGCAGGAGGTTGGTTTCAGCTTTGGGGGCCACGTTTTCAAATTTATCTACCCTTTCCATCTATAATCAGAAAGGCATATTCCTATCTTGTCCTCTAAATTAAATCTGTTCTGATATGAATTCTGAACAACTGACCTAGAAAATAAGCAAAGCTTCATTTTCCCTTTTGTGATGTGAATTTCTTTTTCCAGGTAGAGAACTGCCACCTGTCAACAAGACTTCTCATTTTTCTGTACACACGGCCAATTTATCTTGGATGCAGAATTTCAAAGTCTCACTTTCTCCTTATTCTAGTTATAGCAATTTTCTGATTCACTGTCAAGTACAAGAAAAAAGAGCAGCAGTACTGAGAGAATGATTGCACACAGCCGAAATGGGGGGCACTTGCTTCTGACTCCATGCAAGGAAGCACTGTCGATGTGAAATTGCACTCAAAGCTTTGCGTTCCCAAGAGAACGAAGAACAGGAGACCTGGAAAAGTGACGTGTTCATCAGTAAGCAATGGTGGAATCAGAAACATAAAAGAACCAATGAAGAGATTCCCAAGCCCCTACCAAAAATGAGACCTCTGGGGAAAGCTGCTGGGACCATACATGCTTCCTGATAGTTTTCCATTTTAGAAAAGTTGGAATGTGAGCATTACCATTCATTATACAGTAGATTCTGTTTTTCCCTAGACTTTTATCAAATAATTACAAACTTAAAAATACTTAAAATTGAATAAAGTTTCCACTATAAAAATGAATTTTTGGTCAGCAAGAATTGCAAAGAGAATCAGTCCTTATGAGATTCAAAACTTTTATCTTCCTTGTACCCTTCTAATACTAGAAATTATGGTTCCAACTTGTAAAATTTTACCCTTGCCATGGTTTCTATATTTTACAGCATTTCCCTATTTTTTTCCCACAACCATCCCTTTTAAGACCATGGGAATTTCTTTCATATCTGAGGCTCCCATGCAGGGCTATCTAATAAAACTTTCTACGCTGGTGGGAACCTGCATTTTCACTGTTCAATACAGTAGTCACTAGGCACACATGATGACTGAGCACTTGAAGTATCCCTGATGCCGATTAGCAACATAGTGTTAAACTGTATCTTTTTTTTTTTTTTTTTAAGATTTATTTATTTATTTGAAGGGCAGAGTGACAGAGAGAGATCTTCCATCTGCTGGTTCATTACTCAAGTGGCTACAGCAGTCAGGGCTGGGCCAGGCTCAAGCCAGTAGCCTAGAACACCATCTGGGTTTCCCACCTGGGTGCGGTGCAGGGACCCAAAGACTTGTGTCATCTTCAGGCACATTAGCAGGGAGCTTGATCAGAAGTGGAGAATGACTGGGACTCAAATCTATGCCGATAAGAGACTGGCTTTGCAGGCGGCAGCTTAATCCACTGCACCACAAAGCTGGTGCCCCAAAGTGTTAAACTTTATAGTTTATAGTTAGTTTCAGTTACTTACAACTAAAATGTGAAGTCACGTGGGGTCGGTCAGTGGCTACTGTATTGGACAGCCAAGTCCAATGTTTCCCTTGGAGCTCAGAAACTTACCTCATTTTCTTTTCTTTCTTTCTTTTTTTTTTTTTTTTTTTTTTTTTGACAGGCAGAGTGGACAGTGAGAGAGAGAGACAGAGAGAGAAAGGTCTTCCTTTTGCCGTTGGTTCACCCTCCAATGGCCGCCGCTGCAGCCAGCGCACCGCGCTGATCCAATGGCAGGAGCCAGGATCCAGGTGCTTTTCCTGGTCTCCCATGGGGTGCAGGGCCCAAGCACCTGGGCCATCCTCCACTGCACTCCCTGGCCACAGCAGAGAGCTGGCCTGGAAGAGGGGCAACCGGGACAGAATCCGGCGCCCCAACCGGGACTAGAACCCGGTGTGCCGGCGCCGCAAGGTGGAGGATTAGCCTATTGAGCCACGGCGCCGGCCCTCATTTTCTTTAAAAGCTGAAAAATCTGAGCTGCAATATTGCACTACACTAATGGGCATTATCCTAACACATTATTCTTATTTGTAATAATTGATGTTTGTGTCCCTCACTGGGTCACACAGTCCTCAGGGAGCCCAGCACCTAGTACAGCATCTGGGACATAGTGCAACATCATTAAAGACACAAATAAATAGGTGAGTAAGGGGCCGGTGCTGTTTCGCAGCGGGTTAAAGCCCTGGCCTGAAGTGCTGACATCCTATATGGGCACCAGTTCCAGTCCTGGCCACTGCTCTTCCGATTCAGCTCTCTGCTATGGCCTGGGATAGCAGTAGAAGATGGTCCAAGTCCCTGGGCCCCTGCATCCATGTGGGAGTCCTGGAAGAAACTCCTGGCTCCTGGCTCCTGGCTTCAGATCGGCACAGCTCTGACTGTTGCGGCCATCTTGGGAGTGAACCAGCAGATGGAAGACCTCTCTTTCTCTGTTTCTGCCTCTCTCTGTAATTCTGTCTTTCAAATAAACAAAATAAATCTTAAAAAAAAAATAGGTGAGTTAGAGAATCCATATAACTTTGACATATATGAGAACTCTACTATTTGTGTGTGTGTATGTGTGTTAGAAAGAGAGAAATTGATTCTAGAAAAGAACCTAAAAACACGGCGAGGAAATTAAGTCCAGATTATTAAAGAGAAATAGAGTTGGTTGCATAATAATTCAGAATAAAAAAATTGGCTTAGAAAATTTTTTAAAAATGTATTTTGAAGCTGCCGCCACAGCTCACTAGGCTAATCCTCAGCCTGCGGTACTGGCACCCAGGTTCTAGTCCTGGTTGGGGCGCCGGATTCTGTCCCAGCTGCTCCTCTTCCAGTCCAGCTCTCTGCTGTGGCCCGGGAGTGCAGTGGAGGATGGCCTAGGTCCTTGGACCCTGCCCCTACATAGGAGACCAGGAGGAAGCACCTGGTTCCTGACTTTGGATTGGTGCAGTGCGCCGGCCATAGCAGCCACTTGGGGGTGAACCAACAGAAAAAGGAAGACCTTTCTCTCTCTCTCTCTCTCTCTCTCTCTCTCTCTCTAACTCTGCCTATCAAAAAAATGTATTTTGCTTTTTGGAAAGGTGATAGGGCGATTGGTTTCCCATTCAGTGATTCAGTCCCCAAATGCCTGCAAAGGCTGAGGCTGGGCCAGGCTAAAATGGGGAAGCAGAAACTCAATGCAGGTTTCCCATGTGAGTGGCTGGAAGCCAAGTGCTTGTGCCATAATCCAGTGCTTCCTCTGGTGTACATCACCAGGAAGCTGAACTGGATGGAAGCAGAGCCAGGACTGGAACTCAATCCCTGATATATGGGATGGGGGCATCTCAAGTCTTGAATGCCACACTAAATTCCTGCTCCAGGAAACTGGTTTTATTAATAAAGACTCTCTTTAAGCCTTTGCTAGATCACTATCTGTATATTACATGAAGTATCTTCTGTAATCTTTGAAAGATACAAAAAAAAGATACAACTGTGAAATATATACTATTAGAACCCTATTTTACAGATGATTTGGAGAATGAGTGAGTAATTTACCAAGGTCATATAGCTAAGGAGTAGTGGAGCAAGTATTTCAAGATGAACAATCTGACTTCAGAGCGAACCTTCTTGACCACCGTACTGCACTGCTGTTTGATTGTGTCCATGTGTTGGTGAAGGCTGAGTGACCGCCAGTGTCTGCAGCAGGTTTTTGTCTACACGTAAGCTTCTGTAAACCAACGTCTCCTGGTGATTTAGGTCTCTTTCCAGACTTGCGGGTTGAGGAAGGTGGGGAAGGAGCACTGAGGATCCTAGAGTCCTAGGATCCTAGGAGTCTTTCTCTCAAAAAGTCAAACTAATATTTTTGCATCTAGCATTTTTTTAACCTTCTATTAATAGGGCAAATAAAAATTTTTTCCTTAATAAAACAGAAAGTATTCATCTCTCCGTTCTCCAAGTCTCTCACCTGGTAGAAAAGAACAGCACAGCCGCCGGGTAAGTGCGAATGAGCTCACATATTTCACTTCCCCCTCCCCTCATCTGCTCCCTATCACTCACTTGGGCTCCACAGATAGTGCAGAGCAGACATTTGCATTTAATCAGTTTCATGTGAAGCTATCTTATCTTGTGGCACTGGTTGTGTTGTTTGCCTCCCTCCCACTCCATGCACTCCGTCTCTGCCCTTCTCTGGAAGCAGCCACCCTGACCTCCATGGGATCCATCACCGGTTCTCGCACCCTCTGGCTCCCAGTGGGTTCAACAGGAGCTTGGCAAGGGGTAGGAGGAAGAGAGAGATTGGGGTGCTTCTTCCCCTCGCTCCTTCTCTCCTTTGATGCCGTGTTTTCACAGTAGCTGTGGCAGTCCCCATGTAGCTCCAGTACTCACTGGGGTCAGTTACACTTCTTCTGCTTGCCCTGCGTGTTTCAGGAAGCCAAGGTTTCACCACTCTTGCCAGTCCCTGATGCCTCTGCCTACCTGTCACTTTCCTTAAAACTCTGCCCGTGTCTTTGTAACTTGGCACTTTATTTCACTATTTTCCATAAGCTGTCTCGAGTGGAATACTCTTTCCTGTCTGAGACCCTGCCTGCTGTATTTCCCCTCTCAAGGTCATCACATTTCTGAAAGCCTTGGAAGGGGCCTAGACTGCCAAATTGGTAGAAAATTCAATAGGCCTCAGGTAGATGCACCCACGGGTGAGAGGATGAGATTGTATCACTGTTTCCAGCATTGCTCGGGGGGAGGGCCCCTGAGGGTGACATTCATGTGCCCGCTGTTGTATGAGCAGGGCTCAGGCAGCAGGCTTTTCTGCAGCTTGAGTGAGATGACCTCAGGACTCTTCATTTGCTTTGTCCTGAGATGCCAATCATCCAGCAACCTCAGGGTCGCTCCGCTGGTTTCCTAGGTGACTTGATCCAGAGAAAGGAGTACTTTGGAGGGTGGCTGCCAACATTTCAGATCCTGAAAAACACTTGTCTCCTCTTATATTAACCAAATGGATTTTTTTTTTTCAAAGAAAAAAGTGCAAATAGTTTCCCACCACTCACCCTGTCTGCAGGCATGCTGGTTTTTGTCCTTTCCAGCTAGCATTCCTCCATTGTTTCTTGTTTTCCCCCTCGTGGCTAAGCCCTGGGTTAGGATTCCTGTTACTCAGCTCTATAAACCAATCTGTATTCATTCTCTGATACTATATCCATACTCTGTCTTCCATCCTGTAATGGAAACGTCAGTTTTCCTGTCCAGGCCCCATCCTCTCTGTGCTCTTGTGCCCACCCCCCTTTTCCGAGGGCGTCCATTCTTCAGTGGTCCCATTCTTCCTTCTCACCGGAACAGCACCATGACCGCTCAAGCTGCTCCAGGGTCTCCTGTTCCAGGAATCACCTGCCCCCGACTCACAGCTCCCCACCCCCCAACTTCATGCTTCATTCCTCGGGCACTCTGCGCAGCAAAACCTGCTGGAAAAGTTGTTTCTACTGGCAGTCACCACTTCCTTCCCTTCCATGGGCTCCATTCTGGCTTCCTGCCAGGAGCTGTCACTCTGCTGAAGCAGTTTTGTCAAGGCCATCAGAGATCTCCGTGTTCCCAAACTCTGCTGCTCCTTCTCTTCTCACTCAGCCCCTTGGAAGCATTGGGAGTAGTTGCCTGGCCCTTTACAAAATACTCTCTTCTCCTGGTTTCTTTGATGTCATTCCCAGTCTCCTGCCCTGACTCCTCCCTCCTCTGCACCTTACAAAGAATGGGTTATCCTGGGCTGAGTTCTAGAGCTGCACCTACCATTCACATGTGAGTGCTATTGAAATGTGGCTGGTGTGAAAGGAGATATGTTGTAAGCATGAAATATACTCTGGATTTCAAAGGCTTAAAATGAAAAAAAAAAAGAATGTAAACAAAATTTATATTATAACATGCTACTATATTAATAATTACATGAGTGCATGCTGGGGCTAATGAAAATTAATTTCCTTTGCTTCTTTTTACTTTTTTAGTGTGGCTACTAGAAAAAGTAAAGTGACACCTGTAGCTCACAAGTGTGGGTCACACATATTTTTATTAGTGCTATTCTAGGCTCTCTTCCCTGCCAGATTCTTTTCATCATCTTGCCTGGTTAGGTAACTCTGAATACTATGTATCAACTGACTATGGAACTCAGACCTGGGACTCTGACCTCTCCTTGGAAATCCTGACTTAGGTACTCAACTGTCACTTGAATTTCCACTTGCATGTCTTCTCGGCAACTCAGTGTTAGTATGTCAGAAATGGAATTTTCTACTTCCTCCAGCTGTATTGTGTTATTTGCTGAGCTTTCCATCTCAATCAGCGGTTCCATCATCTGTCCAGTTGTTGAAGCCAGAGACTCGAGTCATCCTTGATTACTCCATTTTCCTCAGCCACTTCATCTAATCCTCCAGAAAGCCATTTAGTTTGTTCCACCTTCAAGTTATTTATCTTGAATTCCATCAATTTTTCTTCATCTCCAGTGTCACTACCCAAGTCTGTCACTGTCCTCTCTCACCTCCTGTGCAGCAGCAACTTCCTAACTCTTCTCTTTGATTCCACTCTTGTACCATTAGTCTCTGCTCCATGTCTCAGAGTGATCTTTTCCGAATATAAATCAGATTATGCCACTGCTCTGTTTAAGCCCCTGAGTG